CTGTACAATTGTTTTTCAAAAAATAAAAGCATGGACGACCAGCCCAGCACGTTGGTTTCTCTCCAATTGCTGTGAGGCCAGCATGGGCACCGTGCGAACTCCCATCTTAGGACGTAGTTCCGGGCCAGGGAGGGCAGAAGGGCCCGGGACCCAGAAGGGGAAGCTGAGGGCGGCTGGAAAGTGGCAGGGCCCCGGATGCAGGGACACCCCGCCTACCCAATTCCGCGCTTTTCAAACACGTTGTGACCGACCACCCACTCAGCGCCTGGCAGTCCACAGGCTATTCCGGTCTCTGGGAATCTGCCTGTTTTCTCTTTGTTTGAAGACAGGGCCTTGCTATGTAGCCCAAGCTGACCTTGAAGTTGAGATCCTCTTGCTTCAGCCTCCGAAATTCTGAGATCACAGACGTACACCGCTGCGCTCGGCAGCACTTCACTTTTCCTGCACGTATCAGTGGTCAAGCACCGTGTGACCAGTTGCACCACTTGGCATGTTTCTGAGGCTCTCCCACATTGCAGCACGGATCGGCGCCCTGCTCCTTTTCATGGCTGTGTAATATTCTGTTATGCCCAGGAAACAGCTCCTATTTTTCCACGCATCAACGGGGCGGATGTTTGGGCTGATTCCACGCATGGGAAAGGTTATTCACTGCCCTCTTGGGCGGCCCAGGTGGCACGGAATTGTCCTTCCGGAGGTGGAAGCCAGCCCAGAAGACCGAGTGGACGGGGTGCCACAGGACCTCACAGCTCGCACCGCCCACAGCCTGAGGCCACACCCTCCGGTGGTCTAGCAACACCCACGGGGCGTGGCCACTTAGAACCTAGCGATTGGTGCACAGGAAGCGGAAAGGCGGGAGTTTGCCCCGGAACTCACTAGCCCAGGCTGGTCTGTAACTCACAGAGATCCTCCTGCCTCAGGCTCCAAAGTGCTGGGATTACAGGCGTGTGCCACCACGCCCGGCCCTACCTGTTGAGTGAGAGCGAAGAGTTCTAGTGCTGCACAACTCAGCTGACCAGAGCTGGCAACTCTTCTTTCTTCCTTAGTCTTTCTTTCTTACTTTTTTCTGTTTATTTTGTACTGGACATTGAACCCAGGACCTTCACACTGAGTTACACCCCAGCTTGCTCGCTGGCTTACTTTCGTCCTTTCATTTCTTTTTTTGTTTGTTTGTTTTTTTGTTTTTTTGATGACCTGGAACTCACTATGTAGCTCAGGCTGGTCGCTAACTCACAGAGATCCTCCTGCCTCAGCCTCTCCTGGGATTACAGGCGTGCACCACGACGCCCGGCCTCGTCCTTTCATTTCTGAGACAGGGTCTCACCGAGTCACTCAGACTGGGCTCGAACTTGTGATCCTCCTGCCTCAGCCTCCCTGAGTGCTGGGATGACAGGCGTTCACCCCCACACCTGGCTGGTTTCTGATGTACTTTATAAAGAATTATAAGACGGGCGTTCTAAGGCTCCCAGCACGAAGAGAGGGCCCGTATTTCAGGAGCTGGAAATGCTGGCTTCCTCATGTGATCCCTGGGCACTGCACACGTACATCCGGGGCTCAAGGGGCACCCTGAAATGTCTACAAATAAGAGACTAGAAAATTCAAGGAAATGTAGGTTACATGAGTGGTGGCCGTGGCAGGACACTGCTGCAGGGTGCTGGGAATTGGGCCCCAGAGTCCGTCCTGCTCTGCTCCTGGGCACGGGGCCCCTAGACCACGCTGTCTCCCATGCCCAGCCTGGGCTCGAGCCCGGAGCAGGAGGTCCCTGGAGCCTGGTCCCCAGAGCCCAAATGGGCAGCCCCGGTGGGAGATGAGCTCCTGGTCATGAGAGGTGTGCAAGAGAAGAGCCCGGGGTCCAGACCCCAGTCCCCACAGTGAGAGTGGCTGAAGGAGCTTATCCAAAGCCCACACGTCCCTGGGCCTGTGGAGGACACCCCACGTCTCCGGGACTCCTGCATCTGAGGATCTGGGAACTTGATCTCTAGATAGACTTTCCGGGCCAGGTCGGTGATAATCAGGGTGGAGCGGGCTCACTGGTGCCTATTCAGGGGAACCCTGAGCACACGGGGACCCAGGGGAAAGTGGCCAATGTACACCCAACAGGAAACCAAAAAATAAAAACCCAAACCCTCAGCTCTCCCTCTAGTTCCTTCTCCCTGCTGGGCTGCCGTGGGAGCACCCTACCCCAGGACCCTTGCACACCGCCCCTGGCCTCACCTTTCTGGGGACACTAAGGCTTCTGGTTAATGTCTCCTCGCCGTCATCCCCTCTCTCATCCCTGTGTTCCGAGGCCTACACGGTCCTTACCGACCTTGGAAATTCCCACTTGCTTGTCCGAGACTGCGAGGTCAGGGCAGGGTCACGTGTGTGCCCCCGGTCCCAGCCAGCATGAGGAAGGTTGTAGACTGACTGAAGGACTGGGGACCCCCTACTTTCCTGTAGACAAAGAATTCAGGGGTGGAGGAACCAAGGGGTCGCCGTGCAGAATTGCAGGCCTGGGCTCTGCGTCTGCACCGCTGTCCCTGTCTCTTGTGGTCCCTGTCACAATGTGTCCCTCAGTGCCAGGCGGCCGTCCTTGCTTGTTCTCTGTCGTGCTGGCTGGCAGGGGGCCCAGGCAGGCTGCCGTTCAGGAATCCGGAACCACCAGCTCTAGTCACCAGCGGCCACTGCCCGCTGCCGCCTCTGCCCCGGCACATTCTGTCCTGAGTAGAAGCCAGGGGTGGCTGGGAGGGGTCACGTCTCTGCCTGGCCAGGTCCAGTTACAGCACAGCCTGTCCTGGCCGGATCCCCCTCAGTGTGGCCTGTGGAGCCCTCCTCTCTGTGGCCCGAACTTAGACTTTCCTGGATGAAGCTGTGTGGCCTCGTGTGGTGACCCCAGGACCTTTGCACCTGCTCTCCTACCACCTATGCCCAACCCCTGATCCCTCAGGACCTCCTCTGTCCCTGCATCTCAGGTCACCCCCCTGGTCCCCTGGCCCTGCCTGGACCCACCCCCACAGTTCCACATTTACTTGTTTGGCTGTGGCATCTGTTCAGCTCCCAGACAGGCGCAACTGGGCGATGGGGGAGCCCTGTCCCAGATGCTCAGGAAAGTCCCCGAGTCCCCGCAGGCACAGGCCGGGCAAGGGTCCAGGAGGAAGCTGTGACTCATGCAGTAGCTGCGCCTGGTGCTGCCACCCAGGGGGGATGGGGAGGGTGTGCTGGGGACAACAAGGGACGACTGGAGCCACTGCTCTGCTCAGCTCACAGGGAAACTGAGGCAAAGCAGAGGAGAAGCGGGGTGCTTGGGGTCCACTCCAGGACATGTGAGTGGCTCTGGACAACTGGGCACAGCGCGGGGCTCAGGACCAGGCAGGGGCACTGCCCCAGCCAAGCACTCTGGGTTTGGGGGCTCATGGGAAGTTTGAAAAAGCCGCTTGTGGGCGACAGCAGTCAGTCCCAAGGACGCTGCGATACAGGGACAGGGACACTTACAGCCCCTGGGCCACAGGAAAGTCCAAGGGAAATGGGAGGCTGGGGAGCGGCCTGGGAAGGTTTCCGGGAGGAGAGGACATCAGCGCTGTGGCTTTGAGGGATGTAGAGGAGTTCACCAGGGAAGGCTGTTCTAGGCAGGGGCAGTTGGCACATCCTTAGCTGCCTCAGTGGCTCCACAGAGCTGGGTCAGAGAGGGGCACATGGACGGGGGGCTGGGTGGCGAACAGATCAGAACCAGAGGCCCACTCTGGCCCTCAGCT